ACCGTAGGCCCCTTAAGAATAGAATTCCAGAACATTCTAGTTAAAAAGTGGAATTTGGTCAAAAATGACTTAAGAAAGAAAGCCAGAAACTTCGATTGCTCACAATTCCCACACTAATTGACCCACAGGGCTGAAACTGTGTGGGAAGTTATCCTAGGTTAACCCAGCAGCTCAGCACAGCACTAGAGGCCCAAATACACAGCACTGGGCAGTCAGTCAGCCGTCGGCACCCGAGGAAACCAGTCAACCCTTGCTGCAGCAACTTGCTCCTGCTCCCGAGCGGCGGAACCATGAGCGAACCTGCGAAGCCAACGGTTTACCTTCGAGTCAGCGTAGGCGGGTCCAATGAGAGTACACTGACGCATGCTCTGCCGTTGTTGCCCTGTCTACAAGTCGTGTGTCCCGTACTCTTTGTTTTATTCTTTCCTCATAATTAGACTCTTCACAGTTTTAAGTTTCATGTTTTCACTCGTTTACCATAGCTATGGGTATCATCTAAGCCATAAATAAGCAAAATTGTCAATGGTCAATTTCGACCACTATCAATCGGCTCTCGAATGCCCCTGAGGTTTCGTAAGGTGAGCGCCGCGCACCGAGAGGGCGGAGGAGGAGAGTCCCAGCCGGGAGGCTTCCTCCCTTTAATTATTACCCGCCGGCGCCCCTGACGCGCAACGCACGCACGCACATGTCCGTCCACTCCGGGAGCGCAGCCTTGCCAGAGCGGATGTTGTTACCTCCTATGGGCTTGAGCGCTCCGAGAAAAAGACCAGCCCATTATCCAAAATAACTAGGGAAAGAATAATTTTGCCCTAAACGTGAGCTGAGACGATCATGTGTGACACTCTTGTACCCCAGACAAAAAGATTTCGCGCCCGTTACGGGCACAGCCCGAGCAAATCTGGGCACAGCACGGGCTTGTACGGGCTCAGCACGGGCTCAGCACGGGCAGAGCACGGGCACAGCACGGGCGCAGCATCCGAAGGCGGGTCGAGGCTCGAACCCGCATGGGGGCAAATGCGGGCAGATGCGGGCAGACACGGGCACTAGGGTGGGCCGTAAAACACGTTTTTTCGATATCGCAAACGTAATAGCGCGCCAAAGTTACTTCATGGCAATACAAACTCAACGCGATCTGGGCCAGGTCTGTAACTTAAAGCTTGACCCTCGCGCATCGACGTTGAAAATTCGAAAATTTGACTTTTACGGGTTTTTCTAAAAACAGCCATAGAAACTGAACCTGATGTCCAAATGATGTTTCCGAGACGGAAATGGAAACGTCTGATCATGCTTTATCAGTTTAAGACCACCGGGACAGCGCACGGGGTACCCCGGGATCCGGTCACACGTTAGGATATGGACGCCAAAAACACATGTTTTACTAAAAATGCAAATTATCGGTACTCAGGGCACTGTAGGGCCTTCGTCTCGTCCGTATGAACTGTAGTGAATCAAAATCGATTACTAGATGGTGTCTTTGCGTCACAGGCACCTACCAGTATATTGACAATCGAATAGAGAGACCTTAAGAACGCCATTTCCGTTGAAGGTTCGGTTAAATCCGTTTTCCAAACATTCGGTTTCCACTGTACTGCTCTTGGCTCGCCCGGAAAATCCGAGACGACTCAGCCCTCACCACGAGAAGGTGGCAGCACGTCGAGATTCACCACCACCCTTACCCACCCAACCACTGGTGGGACTACGACACTTTAAAAGAGGCCGTACATTTTAAGGAAAAAGGTACGGCTAGACCGTACCACACGGCACACGATGTACAGAACAGCTGTACCCAAAAACCGTGCTTCGCATGAGATCCTATGTCATGAAAAACCCGTACTCCGTACCCCAAAAGCCGTACTGGCTGAGGTATGGTGGTACCAGACAAATGTTCTACCAGACTGTGCCTGTATTTTTCCCGTGGATTTTTCCTACAGCGTATGTGTAAGTTGACACCTTGATACTGTACGCAGGAGAATGGAGCAAAACGCGAAGGTACAGTACGCCAGAACGAAGGTAAATGTTTACCTGTAAGAAGGCATCACCTCCAAAATTGGTCAACCGGCGTTACATGTCCCTGCGGCTGTCGCAGGCAGTCGAACAAATTTTAACGGTATTGAGAAACTACCGTAACGAAGACAAACGAAACAGGGGCCTGTCTACGGGGGGCTCAGCTCTACAGCGCACTAGGCGTAAGTATGTTCCCCGGGGCCGTTGCAAACGGACATAACGGTGAGAAAGGAAATGAGAATCTACACGATGGATAAGAATAACCCGTATCAACGTGCAACCACCTTCTGTCGTTAATCCAGCCGAGCCATTTACGGCCTGAAATACGTTTTAAGTCCAGATTAACGAGATTTACAGTGCAAATAGCGTGCTAAAGGTCTCTTCGTCCGATTGTCTATATACTGGTGGGTTCCTGCGACGCAAAGACACCATCTAGTAATCGATTTTAAGTCACTACAGTTCATACGGACGAGACGAGTGCCCTACAGTGCCCTGAGTATCGATAATTTGCATTTTTAGTAAAACATGTGTTTTTGGCGTCCAAATCCTAACGTGTGAACGGATCCCGGGGTACCCCGTGCGCTGTAAACGAGGAAGGGGTCCTTAGAGAAGATGATTCGGGGTATGGTTCGGGGACGGTGACGTCAGGATGGCCGTATCAAACCCTGAAGGCAATTTTTGCATTTTGCAAAA